CATACAACCTATGCATCTGATAACTATTTCTCAGGTCCCTTCTTGCCTTCCTCCTTCTATTTCATAAGCTTCTTCAGTCTTTCAGAAGGAAGAGCATAGATAAACTGACAGATTAGCATGACTACCTTTAGCTCTATGAGTGGAAATAGTTTTACAGTCAAAAACAACCTGATCTCAAGAAAATAATTTTTAAGTTACAATAACGGAGAAAAACATCATTTCCAGGTTTGTGTGTGTGTGTGTCAGTGGCCTAGAATGAAACTTATCTTTGTCATAGCAGGCTTATTATTTTACCAATAACCCATTCCTCAGAACTGAAAATTAAGTAGCCAAAGAAAGAACTTTTGTATTTCTGAGTCAGGTTATAGCTGACAGAAAGTAATATAACTTCAGACAGCTATTGTAGCACAACAATGAATTTTGTAGGTCTGGAGGACCCTGAGGTTGCAGAAACATGATTAGTGCCAAATTATAGTTCCAGAGTGACAGAGTGCTAGATGTGTGAGATGGAGTTTGGATAAACAGATTACTATACCATCACTTTGGATCATCTGAGGCTAACACATCGATATCTGGTATCAGAATCTGGAAACAGTAATGAAGGTATTTGGAAAATAAAGACAATAAGGAAACAGGAAGCAAAAAAAGAGAAAAGTGGTTTCTTAACCATCAACCATTGAATAGAGAAGATTGCATACAACTCGGAGGGTAGAGGAAGCACACCTCAGTCCAAATGAACTTGAAGTCCTTCCCCCCCTCCCTACCCCCCGCAGATGTGGGTCACACAACTTTGACTGAAGAGCTCTAATTTAGGCTCCTGGATCCTACCTCATTTTTGTGGAAGTTTTCTGGAATGTGGCTAACACAAGGAAATCAATCAATTTTAAAATGCAGAGGAAAGACTAAATTAAGAGTGGATAATGTGTGTGTGTGCTTCCCTCTTCTTTCCTTATGGCCTGAGTCTAATATTCAATGTTTTTTAAAGCATCTCCCAAGACATGCTTCCCTTGAATGAGAAAAACAAGTGAGTAAGATATCTGCAGTCTACAATAGAAAGACTCTCGCTTTCTGATTCTCTTCCTGGCTCCATCATTTTCTAGTATATCTTTGGCAAAGACAGTTTTCTCATCCCTGTTAAAACTAATACCAGTTTCAACTTCTCTTAAAAAGTAATTTTATATAATTTATATGAAAAAAATTTGTAAATCATAAAACACCAACAATTTTAAGACAGCATTAGCTTGTATGCCTTTTGACATGTTTTAATGATGTTTTAAGGACATGATTCTACATAGCTAGGAATCCACAGCTTTCACCATAAGTTGTATGCATTTAATCAATAAGCTTTTATTTACTATTACTTTTTAAAATATACTTTTATTTACGATGCGCAGCACCTGATCATATCATCCCTCCTCAAAAGAGGATGATTCATACTAATTTCTTGGTATTTTACTACCTAAGCGTGGATTCTTTAAAATATTGTAGTTTCTCCATTTTTTGAACATTATGTGGAGAGAATCATATTGAATATATTCTTTTATGCTTCAATTCTTTTTAAAGATTAATCTCATGTAACATTAGTTCATTTATATCCATTGCTGTATAGTAGTCTTTTATTATGTGAATATACCACGGTTTGTTTATCCATTCTTTTGTTGGGGAACATTCAAATTGTTTCCAGTTTTTGACTGTTACAATATCCTACTAACAAAAATTCTTAAAAGTATATTCTATGTGATGCACACGTGCACAAGTTTCTTTGGAGTTTCTACCTAGCAGTCAAATTTTCGGGTCATAGGGTAGGTAAATCTCCCATTTGTAATGCCAAACTGCTACTCAAAGTAGTTGTGTTAATTTATCTTCTTAATGGTAGTGTGTGAAACTTCTCATTTTTTCAGGTACTTAGCAACACTTGATATTATCATTTTTAAACTTTTGCCAGTATGGTGAGTATTGGTATCTCATAGTGATTTTAATTTTATTTCTCTGCTTACTAATGTGGTTAATCATCATTTCATATGTTTTTTAGCCATTAGGATTTTCTTTTCCAAAAAAATTACATAGAATACTTTTGTCTGTTTTTCTCGAGTCATCTTTTTTTTTATTGATTTGTACAAGCTCCCTATACTATTGCTTTGTAAGTTACATGTTTTAAATCTTTTCCAACACTATGGTTTGTCTTTTCACTTCTTTATGATATCTTTTGGTAAACAAAAGTTTTTAATGTTAATATAGTTTTATCTTTCGCATTTAGATCTAAAATCCACCTGGAATTTTGATATATGCTGTGTTGTAGGGATCAACTTTCATTTTTTATCCATGTGGTTACCCAGTTGTCTTGAACCATTTTTTGAGGTGTCTAGCTGTTCCCCACTAATCTGCAATGATATTTCTCCCATATATCAGATGTCTATTTACGCATGAGAATCTCTGTCTGAGCTGTTTGTTGTTTCTGCTTATTCTTGCTCATGGAGTCATTTTCTTGTATGCTTTGTTATTTTTTACTGGGAATCACTCATTGTCCTTCAAACATTATTTGTGGAAATGAAAATAACTTTCTCCAAGGAAGACTTGTGTTTGGTTCTAACAGGCATCTGGTGGCACAACCAATCCTATTCCCTCACAAACTTAAGTTTGCAATTTGAAATACTCTGAAACACCCAGATGATGCACATCTAGGCTGTTTTGTGAAAAGACTAGCCTATGGCCACAGTATTTCAGAACTTTTTTCTTTCCTTTTTTAAAACTTCTTCACTCAATACCAAGAGCCTGCAGGAGAGGCAAGAGCTATGGGTTTACTGATGATTCACCGTTATCTTAATGATGTAGCCCTTTGAGATTATTAGACTCCACACCTTGGGTGGATCCTTGGCCTTGACTTCTGAACTCATCAATACACAAGACTGGCCAAACTGAAGCCCCAGCTTGTCTGGATTTGTAAGTCTCAACCTCCTTCACCTGGGGTAAAATTATATTAGTATTCTGATACTTCACTTATCTCCCTGGGTCTCCTTTTCACTTATATTTTGGCTAGAGTTCCTTTATCTTTTCTGCAGTTAGATGCTTTTTGTGAATGTTTTAAAGTTATCCAGCATTTTAAATTGTTTTCCATGGGAGAGCAAATAACCTAGGTTACTATTACCAGAAACAAGTTTGGCACCACTATTCTTGGATGCCCTTCACCTATCTCAAATCTAGAAGTTTTTTGTACCTCGCCCAGTCTTAGCCTTTCTCCACCTTGCTTGTGCTTCTCTCCTCCATTCTCTCTCCTTTCAGTGTCCCTTTCCTCTATCTTAAGAGCAAAATCAATAAATTCTTCAATATGTTTCTTGCAAAGTAGTTTCCCCCTTCTCCAAGACCTGTTGACATCCAGCTCCACAAGATCTTACCTGTCTCGAGGTAGCTTAACTAGCATTTTTCCAAAATGGCTTCCTTCCCAACAGAGGTAAGCACAGTGTGTTTAAGGGTCTCTAACTTCAGCCTGGAGAGATACAGAAACTATCCGAAGGGGTTATTGCTTGGGCTAAAGGTTCTGAAGAAGGAGTTAGTAGAATCTCCCACATCCCTCCAAGCTCAAATAATGACTATCCCAACTGTCCCCATTTCGAAGTTATCTCTATCACCAGTTTCAACAGCTGGAACAGAAAATTCCTTCAGACATATGCAATCAATGTATTGAACTCTACTCTGGAATCAGAATGTGAGATGAGAAGAGAAAAATCGGCAGATTGAATATGAGCCTCAAGTTTCTGGGTCAGTTTAATCTCTCTTATAGCTATGAGCCATACAGAGGAAGAAGAAACCAAATTCTTTGGGAAACTGGGTTGACTACTGAAAAAGTGATATTTGAGCCACAGCTTAAAGGATAGATAAGGTGGGGGAAGGTAATCCAGGAAGAGGGAGAGTGCAACCTGTATTTTTAAAAAGCATGTCATTGTAAAAGTATATGGCATGTTCAAATAAAAGACTAATAGTTTGGCGTGGCTGGAATTAGTTTAAGGAAGAGGGAAAGGGACAATGTCAGAGGTCAGAGGAGACGACCTTATTACCTTTTATTAAACACTGTCATAATACCCTGCATTTTTTTTATAACACTCTTCCAACTTAGAATTTTTTGTTCAATGTCTGTTTTTCCTAATATTCATCCTTATTATTGGGGAGTCAATAAATACTATCTAAAATTCATAAATCAAGGACAAATATAAGAATATCATTTTTAGTTGTAATAGTAACAAATAGAAAAACTAAAACTGTTAATATGACTGCCTCAAGAAAATGGGACTAGGTTAAAGGGTGAAGGAGTTTGAGAGGAAACTCAATATTTTTATATATATTCTTCTGCACTGTTCTAATGTTTTCATGTGCATATATTATGTTTTTAAATTAAAATTTTTATCAAGGTAAAAAAAAACTAAAGTGCCCATATCTTAAGTGTATAGCTTAATAAATGTTTACACATAACTACTATCCAGATCAAGATATTAAAATATTTCCAGTGCCAAAGATTCCTTCGTACCCCTTTCCAGGCAATACTGCCCCCACCATTCTGACATGTACCACCATCATATAGTTTTGCTTGTTTTTCACATGGAATCATACACTATACTTTTAAAAAAATTTTTTTTATTGATATGTAATAAAGTAAGGCATACTGATCTTAAATGTTAGCTTAGTGAATCTTTATATATTTACAGCACCCCACAGATTCCCTTCTGCCCCTTCCCAGTCAATACTGTCCCCATTAAGATAACCACTATTTCGACTTCTATCACCATTGCCCATTCTTAAGCCTCATATAAATGGAATCATACAGTACATACATAACCACTCAGATTTTCTTTAGGATTGCCTGCCACGGGAAGCATAGTCAACTGAGAACCTCTGGCTGCTGCCCTGTAGCTCTACCTCCTGAAGTCAAGCTTCCCTGGACTGCTCCCAGCCAAACACTTAGCATAGCATGAGTACCAGGGCCTGGGCAT